AAAATTATTTTTGGAGGGGGGAATGGGTAAATACTATTCGGTTAGAGAAGAAAAACATGAAGAACCCTAAGCCTCAGGGGATAGTGGGTTTTGTAGTATTTTTTTTGCGGGTGAGCACCGGGGACCTGTCGCAGAAAGTACAGTTTCATATCCCTCACCCCGGCCCCCCTGACCTAACAAAAATAGGAAGGGGGGTTTCAGGGGGGCATGCCTGTGTGTGTGTGTGTGTGTGTGAGAGAGAGAGAGAGTGAGACGAGAGAGAGAGAAAGATTGAGACAGAGAGAGAGGGGAAAAGTAAAAGAGATAGAGAGAGAGAGGAGAGAAGGAAAGAGAGAGAGAGAGATAGTGTATGTGTGGGTGTGTGTGTGTGTGCTTGTATGTGTGTGTGAGAGAGAGAGAGAGAGAGATTGAGACAGAGAGTGAGACAGAGAGTGAGAGTAGAGAGAGAGGAGAGAAAGAGAGAGAGAGGGAGATAGTGTGGGTGTGTGTGTTTGTATGTGTGTGTGTGAGAGTAGAGAGAGAGGAGAGAAAGAGAGAGAGAGGGAGATAGTGTGGGTGTGTGTGTTTGTATGTGTGTGTGTGTGTGTGTGAGAGAGAGAGAGAGAGTGAGAGAAGAGAGAGAGATTGAGACAGAGAGTGAGAGAAGAGAGAGAGATTGAGACAGAGAGTGAGAGAAGAGAGAGAGAGAGAGAGAGAGAGAGAGAGAGAGAGAAATTGAGACAAAGAGATTGAGACAGAGAGACACAGAGAGAGAGAGAGAGAGAGAGACAGATTGAGACAGAGAGTGAGAGAATAGAGAGAGAGAGGGGAGAAAAGTTAAAGAGATAGAGTGAGAGATGGGAAAAGTAAAAGAGAGAGAGGAGAGAAAGAAAGAAAGAGAGAGAGCGAGAGAGAGAGAGATAGTGTGTGGGTGTGTGTGTTTGTATGTATGTGTGTGTGTGTGAGAGAGAGAGAGAGTGAAAGAAGGGAGAGAGAGAGAGAAAGATTGAGACAGAGAGTGAGAGAGAGAGAGAGAGAGAGGGGGGGAAGTAAAAGAGATAGAGAGAGAGGAGAGAAAGAAAGAGAGAGAGAGAGAGATAGTGTATGTGTGGGTGTGTGTGTGTGTGTGTGAGAGAGAGAGAGAGAGAGATAAAAAGAGAGATAGTGTATGTGTGTGTGTGTTTGTGTGTGTGTGTGTGAGAGAGAGAGAGAGATTGAGACAGAGAGTGAGAGAAGAGAGAGAGACAGAGAGTGAGAGAAGAGAGAGAGAGAGAGTTTCAATTCATCTTCAGATTACTATCACTTATCAAATCAATGAATTACATGTATTTGCAGACGTTCGAGGCATAGGCTGCAACGGAACACTTAGCCTATAAAATTGCTAGATGAAGATATGATCGAAAAGAGCTAAAAGCTCCTCTTGAGGGCAAAACCAGAATGTGCGTGCTTAATCACTACATAAAAAACTACAAAACAACGAATTATAATTATGGGGGAAAATTGTTGGTCAGTTGGGAGGAGGAGAAGAAAAGAGGGGGACAGAAAAAAAAAAGTTCTTCCTCGGATTCGATCCCACGCCCGTTCTCTCCGAACGCAGTCACGCTGTCCATTCGGCCACCAAAACTCCTTCCTGGAATAGGTAGATTAAGCTTCATATATTTACAGCACTGTTTCAGAAGTTTCCGAACTGCTAAAACTGGAATCATAGGCCCAACACAATATTCACCATTAGCCTACCACAGCCAATCAGCTTCTGGCTGACGGGCTGCAGCTAGCCACATGTTGCCCGGTAACCATGGCTGAGTGAACTATCTCTTGGACCTTCCGGTTACCGTGTACGTAGACCATGAGGCTACGGGCCCGGTTACCGTGTACGTAGACCCCGAGGCTACGTACGCGGTTACCGCGTACGTAGACACTCCATTCTAGATTAGATCTAGAGTTTAGATCTAGATTAGATCTAATATGTAGATCTAGTAATAGATCTAGAATCTAGATCTGGTATTCTTGATAGAGACAAAGATAGCTATTCTATAAGCCTATAGGCCTAAGGCCTAACACTGCAGACCTTGCCTTATCATGTGTCAGTGTCAGTCTTACTTTCTCAGTGCCACCAGTGCTTGCATCTTGTTTTGTAGGACCACTGTTTGACTAATTAAAATCTGGGTAAATTTTTACTTTCACTCCCGCACACAGATGCACTGTTTCAGGGGTCAAACTGCAGTACTGTTTGCCGCAGATCACACAAAAAGCCACTAAAACTGTCGCAAATCAATTATTTTCAAGACAATTTCAAATCTAACTTATGGGTAAAAACAGGGGGGCATGCCCCCCTGTGTAATCCCCCAGATTTTCTTTTACCCCAGTGGGGCAGATTGGTCTAAAGCATGTCTATCTCGGTAATGAAATCTTTAAAAAACTATTAATTTGCGACGGAAATGAAGTTGATTCGTGTTCAGCGCATCAATATTTAATAAAAAATAGACAACTGGTAGCTGAGTGTGAGACGGGAGGGAAAGTAAAAAAATACCAAAATCTAAAACAATTGAATAATTCTCCTTTGTTTCCACCCTTAGCGCCACCCATTGGTGTAGTTATTTTAATAAAAATCAGTGTAAGCACAATCAACCGGATTCATTCCACTTGGAGTACTAGTCATTTCGTCTCATCGGTGCAGTCAAGACATCACTATCATCTCGTCTCACCCAAATCCACAAGATTGAATGGAGACGGCCATGTCGCCACACACTTGCAAACATCAAATGCGCATTGTCGTGGCAATCGTCGCAAATCACAATTTTTTTGGGAGGGTTAGGTGGTGTGTGGAAGGGGGGGGGGGGCAGTGTACTTAAAAACAGGAGGTCGCAGCCCAACGATTACATGCTTGAACTGGTGATTTAGAATAAAGACTACTTCTGGCACTGATCCTCCTAAGCTCTACTAGCATTAACAATTGGTATAACAATTTTGGAGATACTAAGCGAAGTCATTTCGTCACACATAATTGATTTGGGGTGTGACAAGGTGACAGTGTGGCGAAATGACTGGTTTCCGTACCCTGCCAGTGAATGTAACATTACTATACTATCTATTAGTTCGTAACAACCAAGGATTTGAGGAGCCTTTTTCTCAGCTGGCTGTTTGATAAGGGGGGAAGACATTGGTCAAATTATTGTCTCATCTCTGGCTACACCGCACCACCTTGACCATCTGCATCTGGAGGCACAGCAAAAAGTTTAGAGCTGATGAAACCAAACTTGTGAGTTTTGTTTCAGATCAAGGCAGAAGAGCGGGCAAAGCATTTTTAAATTCCTTTCGTCTTGAACAAATTGAACCCTCCCAAGGGAAGGAACTTCTTTCCATTTCTGGGTTGAGCAGGTTAAAGTTTTAAAGAGAGATAATAACTGTAATTATAGGGGAATGATAGAAGAATTTATCAAGGAGGGAGATTCCCTTATGGCGGGTTTCCATCAAGGAAGGTTCGACTGTAGGCAGAATAGGCATGTTTGATTCAGATATAGGTTAGATTTGTTCCTCAAATTTTCCTGAAAATTAGGCCTTTTTTTTCTGTAATTCTATTCTCATATTGCCATTTGCTACTAAAAGCCTAGAAACATATGTAGATATTTAATTTTTTTTACTTGTATTCATTAAATTCTGTGTGGCTATGCTTGATCTCGGGCATACCCTATTTGTTTTGCTACACAGTGCCACTGTTGCTCGTACAAAATAGTCACCAAAAGGTATTTAATTTAAATCCAAAATTAAAGCACCTTTGGGATATTTTCTTGTGGATTTCAAAGTAGGTTAATTGAAAAAGAGATTAGAATTACTTACACAAAAAATAGTCGGAAATCTGAGGGTTCAAAACTGTATTGCCTGAATCCATCAAGTCTGTATAAAACATTCCAAAGTAGAAGATTGATCTTATTCTAATTTATTCTAGTCCAAGTTTTGATCCTCATAAATTGAGTCTTTCTCTTCTCAGTCCCATCTGTATGTACTTTTAACAAGGTGAACATTATAATTTTAAAGATGATACATAGAGTAATTATGAAAACGCCTTGCGTGAATATTAGTAAAGTGGCAAGTGAATGCTGTGGGCGGTGTATGGGAGACAGTGTGTGAAATCAGGCGCCTTTCAATATAATGAAATCAAAGAAGACGTCATTTTTCTTCCTGTTTGGTAATTTTTATTGAATTTTTGCTTTTTAGTATATATGTCCATGCTAAAACACATTTCTATGTGGATTTTAATGAAAAAACATTGATTAAAGGCACAAAAGTTGTAAATTTGAAGTTTTCAAGGACTCTCTAGCTTTAGAAGTCACCAAACTTTGGCGGCTATTTTCTTGCTAATTTTGCCTCTGACACCAGGGTGACCCCCAACCTCCTTCAATTGCAAATATCACGACTTCTATTCAAGATTGATGGGGTTTTTCCCCCCTCGGAAGCAAGGCAAATGAACAAGCTTTTTGATGAAACCAATAACTCCACATGCCCAAAAATTGACTAGGGCCTGATGATTCCACAGCGTCGTGACACATTGTATATAATATATAGTTGATAACACAAGTGGGGGTGGTAAGTGGTCATTTGTGCAGGTGATGATTATCTTGGACAGGTGGTTGCTGGAGCAGGTTTGACTATTTTTGTAATATAAACAAATCACAAACTGAATTTTTTATGTTTTAAAGCTAAAGAGTGACAGCTTTCAGTAGCAAAGCTAAATAATTCCCTTTTTTCCATGCATTTTGTTGATTGTGCGATGACTATATTGTATGGTAGAGGTTATACATTATAAGATTGAATGAGGGATGGAAATGGTTGTCAGTTGGCGGGGGGTGGAGGGGAGGAGGGTGAATTTATGTTTAAGTTTGCTTCAAGTGCTCCGAATAACGTAAGTAATGTCTGCACCATAATCTTTTCTTCCTTTTGATCTACAGGGCAAGGATTTGCTGATAAAAGGAAGAAAAAAGCTGCTTATGAATACCTGAAGCTTCTGAAGAAAGAGAAGCAGCAAAAGATCCGTGAGGGAAAAGAACCGGAGAAGCACAGACCTTTAGCCTTTCTCAGTCCACACGGGTTAGTAGATATGTCAGTAGTATAGTGGTTAGGCTACTGGACTCATTAATTGTGAGGTTGCAGGGAATTTGTGCTGTAAATGCTCTCTGTTATTATAATTTGTTTTTATATGCACCATTTCTGAGGACTAGAAATGCTGGAGCAAAACAGCCGTGTCTGTCTGTCCGTCCGACTAATTTTGTATGGTACTTTTCTAGACACTCTATCCTGGAATGTAGCCTATACTGCAAAGGTTGGCCCTAAGAGGCAGACTGGAAGCATTCGACCTTCTACGTGATCTAAATTGTGTGGATGGGAGTTATTGACATTAAACTCTCAGTGGGCCATTTTACAGGAGAATTCTTGACTCAACTTTGGGTAGGTTAGAGGAAATTTTCTGGAAAGTCGAGAAGTATTTAATTTTACACTCTAAATGCATTGGAACTACACTGTTTCAGGTGTTTGTCAATTTAAATATTCTCTGTGACTTTTTGTTTCTTCGCTTTGTTCAAGGGATGAAGACCACAACTGTTTGTACAGTACGCTAGGGTTGACCTTGTGTATCGTTTTATCTTGCACGCTAGCAGAGACGTATAATTCAAGTAAATCATAAGTTTGTTAATGTACATTTTGCTTACAGGAAAGATAAAGGAAAGAAATCTCATGCCTTCAGTGCAGCGCAGAAAGTTGCTCAGAAAAAACAAGAGGAAAGGAGGAAAAAGCAAGAGGTAAGTTTTAATCTGTTGTTTGTTACTTTTTTGAAGAAGAGGACAAAATAATGTTTTGGTACAGTGGGAGTCGCATTCAATGAGGTCACATTCAGCAAGAAGTCGACTCCAACGAGGCAATCCTTAAACCCCGATTTTTTCCTCTATATCTCTTTGTGCGTCGGCTCCAACGAGGTTGCAAACAGACCGAATTCACTTTCAACGAGGTCGCGATAACCAAATAACTACAATTAGGGGCCCCAAAAGCGAAGAATTTTTCTCCTTTCTCTCCATCTCATGCAAAGCACAAGACCCATCCTCGATTCTTAACACATTGTATTGCTAGATCTTGTGTGCTTCCTAATATGGGCCCCAAAGCCAAGAGGATGGCCAAGGGTTAGCCTACAGTAGGGATGGGAGGGGATGGGTGGGAACGTGATGCAGGATGTGTGAAACTGGATGAACTCTGGATGGGTAGGTCTAGGTCGAGATCTTCATTTTTTTTCAATTTTCTTTTCTTCCCCTGATCAGAAAATGCAATCTCCCGCCTTTACTTTATGTAGACATCTAGCCCTAGATGTGAGAGGGTATGTTTCCACAAGAGAGGTGTTCGGGAAAATGTTTTTAAAAAACCAACATAAATGACGGTCAGAACACAGCTCAAACACGCGTACACTGATGCTGTTTAAAATTTTCGTCTTCAGGGGGAACAACTGTTTTAATTAGTGGTATTGGTACATCCTATAATATAAAAACTTGTCTTCTTTCTTTACTTTAGCCGTAGTCACATTCAACGAGAGGTCGGATCAAACGAGGACAACAAGCTGGTCCCGGCAACCTCGTTGAATGCGACCCCCACTGTACATATATTTAACTGAAACGAATAACATGAAAAGGAAGGAAAAACTGAACTATGAGTAAGACTTTCGTCTGTTTGTGAAGAATTGGCATAGTAGACTGAAGGGAAAAGAGAGTTTAAAATCTGTGCTGTAGTCAGATTCCTGCTGTTTGAAAGTTATTTTGATCATTCAGTAGTTGGCTACTTTAATGCTGCCTTTCAGAGAGAACTCTGGCTATAACTCAGAGATCAGATAAGATACATCTTTAATGTCCAGATCCTGCCACACTGGTTTGGTCTTTCACCACACACACATGCACGTACGCACATACACACAGGCATGCACATGTGCACACCCATATATATATATATATATATATATATACACACACTTTTTCCTCCCACTTCCTCTCTTCCACACACATCGGGCTATAACTCAGAGATCAGATAAGATGCATCTTTTTTGTGTAGATCCTGCCACACTGATTTGGTCTTTCACCACACTCGCACGCACACACCCATGCACATACACACAGGCATGCACATGTGCACACCCATATATATATACACACACTTTTCCTCCCCACTGTCTCTCTTCCACGCACATCATTGCACTTAACCATGTAAAGGGAGCTACATTCTAACAGACAGTGGAAAGGCTGAGACAAGCTTGCTAAATAAAATCTCTTCTCTCTGTGGACTCAGAGAAGTGGCTAACTATTGACCATATGCACAGATAGCCTCAGCTCGCTCAGCAATTCAGCGGGTTCCTGAGAGGTGTTTTTGCCTGTTCAGATCCACTTCTCAAAGCTGAGAAAATTGTCTCCAGTTCAGTAAATACCACAACATCATCAGCATGATTGATTGTTTTAGATTTTCCCATCTCCATCTACTCAATTTACACATGTATCAACTGGTGGGGGGAGGGGGTACTTTGATTCTGCCTATTATATCGGTAGCCAATCTGAGCTGTGTCATTGTCATCCTTGCTCAATGGAACTCTTGGCCCTTGATATACAGGTTGAAGAGCCTCACCATTATATCTCAGACATGTCAAATAACTGGTGGTGGGTATGCACAATTTCTCTGAAAATAATACACGGCAGACACAAGTTTGTGGTATTAAGGGAGGGGTTGGGGGTTAGGAAAGTGTATGAATCATCTGACTCGGATTATTATAAAATGGCATTGCAGTAAAACTTCACCCAGGTGATTTGCTTCGTCTGACTTAAAAATTTTTTTTGGTTCAGATGACAAAGTTCTTTCTGTCATTTGCGGGTTGTTGGAGGGCGCCGCTGGTAGGTCCTACTTCTTTAATTTCCCTCTGTTGTTTCTGTCTGTTCTGTCTGTCTTACTTTTCCCCAGCACAAAATGACCATTATTGTGTCGACATGCTTCTCTTACTCAAACAAAGTTTCTGTTATTTTACGATAAATGCAATCACAGACATCTTGTGAGACAAAGTAGTGCTCATGTATATATATATATGTATTTGTGTGAATCTGTATGGCAGGAAGGACAGCAGGTGCAGCAGGAAAAGGAAACGGCCTTGAAGGCGTACAAAGATCGGAAGCGAGAGCAGCACCTCAAACTGTGCAAGAAGACAAGCAAAGGCCAGCCGGTCATGAGGCATCAGATGGAAGTCTTGTTGGAGAAGATCAAGAAGCAGAAAGGAGGAGGGTCTTAATATTTTGTTTTGTTTTTTGTTTCTTTGGTGTATGTATGTAATGTTGTGTTTGTGTTTGTGAATGCAGGTGATGTAAAAAAAAAAATGATAGATAGGCTCTGGATATGAGAGGGAGGTTTGTGCATTGTGAGTGTGAGAGTTTTGGTTGTTGTGAATTTGTCCAGCTGGATGCGTCTCTAGTGAGGCTTTTGATTGTGTGCTGCTGGGCTTGAACTTGAAATAAGTTGTTGGACTGCTGTACTGTAAATAATTTTGTACCTTGTATATATATCATCTCCGTTTTGCCTGATGTCTGTTACAAGGTGATTGGTTCTCCTTTGTACTGAAATGTACACCTGGTTCTTTTGTTTTTATTGCTCTCTCACTCAGTCTGAATGTGCATGAAGTCCAATAAAGTGTTATTTATCAATACTCATGTTCAGAGGTATTCTTTCAACTTCAGAAACTGTTACATTATGTGCTTGTTCAGCAATTTGGGTTGTTTTTTGGGGGTTCCATAAAACATCTATGGATAGAGTGAACAATGTGAGTGGTAGCCATGTGCTCCTAGTAGGCTTCTTCAATGTGTGTGTGTGGGGGATGGGGGGGAAGGGGTGATAAGGAACTGAGGTGGTATGCTGCAATGTATTGTACTGGCTAGCCAAGGTATTTTAGGGACGTCATGTGATGAGCCTTGATGGCGTAAAGGTTACGACACCATATATATATATATATATATATATATGTGTATAGGCCGTCCAGCTTTCTTGACAACTATTGTCCCAAATATAAGCAGATATTGGAATCTGCTGATTGAAATTTGAACTGACTTTTGCCAGTGGCGCTAAAACTGATCAGATCAAGACACATTTGTACCTTTCTTCATCTGAATCTGAATGAGTAGGGTATAATACACAAGGAAAGGGATCTATCGAATGACAATTTTATGTTTTAGTTTTACTGAATCTTGGTAACTGGTGGCCAAAAATTTAGCTGAAATCTTATCCCTTTGTTTCAGATAGGAAAATAGGAAATGGCACTGATGAAAGGAAGGGATGGGAAATGATCTGTAAGATCTAAATATAGCAAAGAAGTCGTCAAGAATCTTCGTTGCAGTGGATTTTAAACAGTTAATAGCCATAGCATTCTCAATACAATGTAGCTCATACCCAGTGTCTGTTGGTACAACCGGTTCGGTTCAGTGTGGTAGGCGGGGCTAGTCACATTGAAGGCGAAAAGCGACCATCCTGGCACACCCGAATGAAGCCGACGGTGACCCTAAAAAACAAACGTGTTTGTTTTCAAGGCTGCGAGTTGGACGATTGGTGTGTATCTGAGAAGCTATCCCCGGACGAGCACTGGGTATTAGATTTGGGCCGAATTTCATGAAGTGGATTAAGGGGATCCACTGGTCAGATCAGTAAAAAATTTGAAAAAAATATCAGTTTTCGGATTTTGGAGTATCTTAACAGATATCAATATCAAGGATCCATCTTTAGAAGCCTAATTCCTTATCAAACTTAGAAATAGCTGGAAAATGCATTTGAGAAAGGTAGCAATGTAGGAAAATCTTCACCAAAAATTATCTCTCTTTGCAGTTTTCTCAGAATTGTTTATCTGACCAGGTAGCAACACTATATTGAGTAGATCTCTGAAAGTTACTGTCAGAATTGTTTCAAATTTGCACACAATCTTTTATGCACATTTCTCTATAACCTTACAGTAGCATTTTTCTTTTTATGGTACACCTTTGAAATTTTAGGCTTTTTTTATTTTACAAAATCTGAAAATATTGGAGACCTGAATGTAGTGCATAACAAGGACTGTAAGGCTCACAAGTCAGTACAAAAATTTCAAATTTGGCTCTGTAAGGTCGTTCTACCTACCAACAGTAATCGCCATGCCAAATATTAGGCTTCTATCTTGAAGCATGTTGATGATTGACAAAATATAAAATTGGTTTTAAAAATGCTGAATCAATCCTATATTTTTGATGGCTCGAGATTATTATGGCTAAAATCTTGAATTTTTTGCTTGGTAACCTTTTTTTGTACTATGTCACCCCCTTTGATGCAGAAAAGCAAGCGTTAGACCAAAAACTATAGCATTTGGGTGTTGACCATAGCTACACCCCCTTAATTAAAACCATGGACACAGAAACACTTAGTATATATATGTATAACATGGAGGCCTTATATCAAGAATGTTTCCATGCAAAGTGATGTGGGGGGCAAGACTGCTTCACGTCTCTGTAACTTTCTAGTATGGTGGCTTCTCACCCAGAAAATAATTCCAGATGGTGACATTACATCCAAGATCTGGACTCGACTAATATGAGCTAATATGCTAACTATTTCTTTAAAATCCCAGTGACATGAGAAGAACAATTGTCGATCCGAAACGGCTTTTCCTCCTTTTCCGACCTGTATTAAATCTTAACAAATTGTATGCTCTTATACATTTTTACATAAATGGATTGGGATCTGAAAATATGGGAATCCCCATAAATTGGCGACAAGATGAAAATGAGGTTAATGTTAACCTAACCATGGTCCTCCGTCATCTTCATCATTACATCATCAACACTGTTATCATGATCCGTGGTGGAAGCAGCAGCAACTGCAACTGCAGAACACCAAAGAGATCTTCTCCTCTCATATATCATCGCCATTAACACTGTGTGATCATGGTAGTGAACATTGTTCTGTCTTTCAGAAAGAACTCTCAGCCACGTTTGGTTTACCTAACACTAACACACAGAAAAAGAACAACCTCAGTGATGATACTATGCACCTTAAAAAAAAGTGACAAGAGACCCCCAAAAGGGGGGGACGGACATTTTTGCATTTAGAGCAGAAAATCTAACAGCAAACACTGTACACTGTCTATCGACAAACGAACGCAAATAGCAAGTAATAATAATAAAACATTGAAAAAGTTGATGATTTTGTGTAGTTTTATTTTTTCATACTTTTACAAACAATATAATATTATATATTTCATATACATGTACATATATATAATATATAATTTAATCTGTTGTAAATACACAAGCTCCCTTTTTGTATGACAGGATACAGTTCTCTGACTAATGTCTTTATAATCTCCATGTATCTATTGGCCTCTACCCTTTGTCTAATGTCTCAAAACATATTTCAAAACAGCGACGATTCCACTCAGCAAAATGGCCAAGTCAAAGAGAACAGCAACGGAAAATAGAACAGACAAAACATCTGATTAGACTTAGATTGGTGTTGTTGAGCAGTTTATTATTTAGACTTTGACTTTGAGGATCGTTTCACTGTACATATTATTTTTACAGTTCAGTGTTTTTCTCATTTTGTGCTGCGTGACCTCTCACCTCTGTTGTTATACATTAAGCTCGTACATTTAAATTAAAGGTTATTCGTAAGAACGATAACTTTATCCTTAGGGAAAGATCTTGGGCAAGTTCAAGTAAGTCTACGCAAATAGGGACGAAGCACGCGCATGCACACACACACACGCATGCACATACGTGCCTTGGCCAACGGCAAGCCAGACTGGTAAAAACCCCCAAAAGAAATTATCAAAGCAAAATTGACGTAAACATACAACGACACACACCTTGTCTAGAAATAGTTCACAGAGCTGAAGGTGATAGGTAAACCAAGATTCCCTTCCCAGCCAAATTAGACCAAGGACTCCGGAGTATACAATGTAGAGATAAAAAACCCCGGAAAACATCGAGGCTGGTTTAGGCTTGTCCTCCGAGATAGCGGAAGTGGAAGAATTATCCACACAACTAGTCAGTCTAGCAGCACACACAAAGTCAACACGCACATAGTCAGCAGGTTTTTAGGTCCCCAATATTTTTGTACGGTACCCTTGTTTCTTTATATTTGAATTTAAAACAATTTCATTGTGAGATTCGGACATAAAAAAAAGAAAGAATTTTCACATCCTGCCGTGCGTGTGTGCGTGCTTGTGCTAGACTGGATCAATAGCTTGCTTAGGTGAACGAAAACGCTGCTAAAATCAAAAGGGCACTTCGAATAAACAGTGCAATGGTTGAGGTGATCAAAATGTATACAATTCCTGTATCACCAACACAACTAACTAGAGAGAAGCCTCACATATATATCATGTTTAATAATACAGTACAGGGTTTTTTGGCTTTTTTTTTCCCATCTTTTTTCCTTCTGACTTTTGCCCATTTTGTTATTTGCAAACATTTAGTATTCGCCGTTTGTGTCACCCAGTCCCAGTGCAGTTGTGCCTCTTTGAACATTTCCCGAACAACTTGAACTCACACATTTCTTGAACAAATCACGACAACCCCAAATTCAAGTAGCACACGACAAAAACAAACAAACCGGAATACACCAAGTTACGGGCACAGTCATTTTCATAATCTTAAAATAGCGCACATCTCGATTGCTGAGCAACTCCTGCGAGAGGACAGAGAAATCAGGCAAAGTTATTTGTTCCTTGCCAGAGCACAGATTTCGTGACTTGCACTCCGGACACTCCTGAAGAACAAGAGTTCCTTCACTACAGGTATAGTATCTGTCCTGTTAAGTAGGGTAAGGAATGGAACTGTAGACCTTTCAAAAGAAGAAGGGGCCACATGGCAACCCTTGGGCCAGGACAGATACGGACAGCTCTGCAATTTTATTCTGTTGTTATCTCAGCAGACCCACGAATATAGTTGATAAAACTAAAAAAAACAACATTCCCCCACTTGGGAACTCAACTCAAATTTTTCTGCACACAAGGACAAAAAACCTAGACCTAGCCATTACACCGTACGCCACCATATTTCTAAATTGAAAGTAGGCTTACTTGAAAAGAACAAATTTATGAATCAGTTAGATGGGCAAACGACCAAAAGAATATTGGCCACACTAACAATACACGCAGGCGTCATCATCATCATCAGTCGATCTACACAGCTAGATGAGACCTGCTTCATCAGCTGCACTGGGAAAATAACTCGTAAAAATGAAGACCACGTCATTCTCAGCCTCAAGGAAAAAGCAACACGTAAAATCAAGACATAGAGCTAATGATAATAATTCACAAAAGAAAAACAATGAATAAAAAAATCAAGACCTATCATCCTTAAGGGCAAAGTAATGCATCATAAGAGATAAACACATACCAGTCACAAGGGAAATGCAAAGTATAAAAAAACATGTATCTTCGGGAAATGGCTTCCGTCTTCAGGAATTCTCTGATGAGATGATCAAACTTGACTCTGAGAATATCATCAACACACTCAAAGGCACGCTGCCTATTATATTGTAATCATATTACGTTCATGCAAACTATTCAGAATTCAGTATATGTATCAGTACATGTATCCTGATTGAAAAATATTTATTCCAACTACAAAATGGGAGATATATCTTTCAGCACACTCAAGATTTGATAGTTGTTAGATTCTAGTG